CCACACCCCGCCTTCACCACCCCCCACCCCCTACGCCCGGCTCGGGCAGGTCCCGGTGAAACTAGTTAGCGTGGATGGGTGGAAGTGACATTGTGTGGACACTGCGGCTGCAGCTGCGGTGAGCTGCGCGGGCGTAGACGCGCAGGGAAAACAGAGAACACTCCTTTCTGACCTTTCCGCAACCTTTCAGTGATGTTTGCGGTCCACATCACGTGCCCCAAAAGGAATAATTTGTGGCGCTAGCCAAAACGGTGCTCGGTCTCGGATTGTCGCTGTGAACGCGCGCAACGTGTGTGGGTGCGGCGTGAATCTCGCCGTTCCAAGTTACTCGAGTACTCTCCCTCCAGGGCTCAACCCGAGACAATAGACAATGTACCTGCAGATTTCGCGCCCTTTGTCAGAGTTGAACGTCTCGGCTGCCAACTTGGATTTGCCCCGGAATCCCTGGAACAAACTCCACCCTTCACCCCGCAGCCCCACTACCCCGTCTGCATAGTCCGCCCCGAGTAGTACTCCACTACAATATAATACACCGATTTTTATGTTGTTAATTTTATCTATTTTCCTTAATTTTTTATCTGCTTTTTTCTTAAATTTTCTCGATTTTTTGCGGTATTTTCATTTAATTTTTCTGCATTTTTTCTGATTTTTTAAAAAAAGATTTTTCTGATTTTTTTTTTTTTTTTTTTTTTTTTACCGACGTACCCTACTGACGGCACGGCTCCCCTCTCTCCTCGTTGCAGGTCCAGAGCACGTACGTCTGATGCCGCGGGCCGCCGGCCTGGTCGTCGTGGCTGGGGCTGCTGCTGGGTCGTCGCGTGAACGACCCTGCGGCGGCCCCCGCGCAGGACGGCCAGAGCGCGTGCGGCCCCAGCCTGCCGCCCCTGCCGGGGCCCCTGCTCCGGGCGTGCCCCGCGCGCGCCGCGCGCCCCGCTCCGCCCGCGCCCACCACCGTGGTGCGCTTCCGCTCGCCGGGAGCCATCGAGGTGCTCGTCATGGGCTCGGTGCGCTACCGCCCCGGCCTGGCGGACGCCCTGTGACTCTCGCCGTCGTCGTGGCCGCGGCGGGCGCGGGCGCACCCCCACCACCACCACGGGTCGTGGAGGAAGCGCAAGTGTGAGGTGCTGTGAACAACATTGGTGGTTTCCGTGGGACTGTGCAATACGCCAACGGTACCTCCGTGCATTTGTGTGGGTCGTGAGAGACTCTTGAAGTAACGTGCTGGGACATCTTCACGTAGATGCACACAGAGCGCACGACAACGTTGAGAGCAAAGTAGAGGTTACATTGTTGTAATGTAAGAAAGGCAGACAGAGTGAGATCCATTGGCGTACCTTCCCTGCAGCGTCGTATAAGTAATCCGGTTACGCAAGTCTTTTTGTTTTGTTTGTCTTGTTTCGTTGTTGGCGCATTACCAACAAACAGCGCCCTCCTCCCCCACCCCGGCGCGCCCTGAGCCAGCCCGCCGGGGGGCGGGGGGGCAGGGGGGTCTGCTGCATGAAGCCAGAGTACGCGCGGTAAACACAGTGCATGCCGAACCGTCCGAGCCATGAGGAGGCTGAGGTACCCGCTTCACCGTCTCGACGGCGGCGGCGTCGCCCTGCGTTGGTCGCGACGCCGCCGGCCCGCTTTAGACGTGTGTTCTTAATGGCCTTGCAAAACTCCTCTTCCGAGCACTCCTCCACGACGACTTGACGCGACCTGCCTCGCGGCCTCTCGCTGGGGGAGGGGGGGGGGGTTCTTTTTTCCCTATCCGTCCTCTCCGCCTCCCTGGGCGCGCAATCTAACATGCGTTCTGCTTCCCCTCCCCCCCCCCCCTTCCCTCCATACTCCCCTTCTGCCCACGCAAGTTAATGAAACTCTTGCTGCTCAGTTCATATTCGTGTTGACAACTCGCCCGGGCGTATACCGTCTTGCTGCTCCAAGACGGGCCTGTTTCTTGTGCTTCTCCGCACGCGTGCTGCTCGTGGTATGGGGAGCAGGGAGAGAGAGAGAGAGAGAGAGAGAGAGAGAGAGAGAGAGAGCAGGAAGAGAGGGGGGGGGAGAGTGGAAACGGCTTTGTATGATGGGTGTGGGAGAGGGATGGACAGCCGAGTCAGGGAGCGCGCCCCTCTCGGGAGCCTCGCGCGCGGCGGGAGCCTGCCGCCCACACCGGCTGGTCTCGCGGGCCGGAGGGAGCCGCGCTGAAATAGTGCCTGGTTCTCTCTGAGTAATGCGTATTGGACGCGCCCCTCCCCACCCCGCTCCGTCCCGCCCCGCTCCTGCTCCCGCTTACCCCCGCAGCCGCCCCCAACGCATTCTATATTGCGCCTGAAAACAGCGACCGCTGCTGCTGCTGCGCGCGCACTCTCTGCTGATCCACTCTGGGCCCTACGCATCGCTACGCCCCGCCGCCCCCCGCCCCGCCCCGCCGCGCCCCGCCGCGCCCCAACGGGACCAATGACATATCGACGTCGCTCAGCTCTGCATGAAAATGTAGCGCGAAATTAAAAGCCATCCATCACCGGGGTTGAGAGTGACGAGGGAGGGGAGGAAGAGGTGGCCGCTGCTGCGGCTGTGAGGAAAATAAGGGAGAGAGGGAGAAAGAGAGAGAGAGAGAGAGAGAGAGAGAGAGAGAGAGAGAGACGCGGAGGGGGTTGAGAGGGGGATAGGGGGGAGTATTTCTGCCGCGTTCCTCCTCGGCTTTAGGCAAAAGAGGGCCGTGTGCGAAACGTTACGGAAAAAAGCGAGAGTGTTCACGTCGTTCACGGCCGAGGTCGGCGGCGGCCCGGCGGCGAGGCGCGGCGGGCGCTCTCTGCGCTGGAGCACGCCATGAGCGGCAGCAGCAGCGGTGCGGACGAGCAGCGCGTGGAGAGCGTGCGCGCCGGGGCGGGAATGGGAAGTAATAGCACGCAGAAGCTTATATCACAATAAGTCGAATGACGTGTCAGCGCCCGGCGGCGTGTTCCCCGGGAGCGAGTGGCAAAAGGGGGGAATAAAGCGAGGGGTGGGGAAAAAAATAACAAAATTGACGGGAAAACTGAGCGAGCAGCAAGTGTTCCGTACAGCGGTAGCATGACGGAGCATGACAGGAGGCGTATCGTGCACATTTAAAAGAAAATATATTCATCGATTTATTTATTCAAAAAACGCTTTTCCTTTGCCTCGACAACCTCGGCTCTTTCCGCCTCACAAGCTTGTGTAGCCCGTGCTGACCAATACGCAACGCATGGGCCATCGCCTTCGCCTCGGGTATATATCAATAATCGCTCTCTCTCCTCGTCTCCTTCCCCCTCCCCCTCTCCCTCCCCCGTTTACTCTCATATTTGCCAGGCCAGAGGCCAGGCCGGAGAGGCCGGCTGCTGCTGCTACTGATGAGAAGCAATGTCTGCGAAGTTGGCGCCTGCCTCTGTCCGCGCGCGGCAGAAGGCCTAACCCCTACGGTTAATTAGAAGGAGAAGAACTTTGCACATTTAGCTTGTTCAAACACACGCAGTGATAAGCTAAAGGGGAGGGAGGGATCTTATTTACCCCACCATCCCCTTTGCCTCTCCCGCGTCTCCGTCCGAAACATTTTAGTTCTCTCCTCCACCCCCCCCCCCTACCCCCACCCCCTCTTTTTTTTCGCTCCGTAGCCCTTGCTCTACTTTTGTCGTCCTACGCAGAGGGGATGAAAAATATACCAATGCAGCCACGAGGGACCGACAACAGCGTGATGACTTTCTCCCTTTTGCTTTCCACCGCGCCACCGGGCCTCCAAAGGGCGCGCGACCGACCGACACTCACTGTGTTGAATTCCAACTCGTTTCAGACAAGCGGGACGGTTAAGCCAGTGGATTTCGCTCTCTCTCTGCTGATGCTGCTATGTGACTCTCTCGCCGCGGTGAGGGCAAAAAAAAAAAAAAGAGAGAGAGAGAAGATCGTGTTACGAAATTTTATTAAAAAGGCTGTGAGGGTAATGATTTGAACAAGGACCAGCGCTGCCTGACTGAGCAGAGACGCGAATGTGTGAGTGAGTGAGAGTGCGTGTGAGACTGCGAAATTAAAACAGAAACAAAAATAATGTAACGACACAAAAGTGAGGCAGGGCAGAGTGAACGCGGGACAGAGCCTGCTGTGTGTCGTCCCATAATGTGGTGATCTCATAGACTTTTATGAGCGTAGCATTTTGTATGGTGGTGTGTTTTTTCGTTGTTTTGTACTTACCGTTTTAGGCTAAGCTCCGCTGTACGCTCACGCTGCTGTCCCGTGCAGACGGCGGCCGGGCGCGCCAGGCTCGCGGGGGCGTATACGGTACGTCCGCGGCCCGCCCATTTACTGAGCCCAAATGGCGGCCACGCCAGCGACAGAGGCCCCCGACGAGCCCCCCGGGGCCCCGGGCCGCCGCGGACAGCGGCGAGCGGCCACGGCAACGCAACATCGACTGCGTTTTCGTTTTTGTATAATAAATTGTATTACTACTTTCTCCAAATTATTTATAATAATAGCTATATTATGATGCATAATAAAATTGTTCGTTTCTCGTATGTGTTTTCTCTTTGTATTGAGTCTTGTTTTTGTTTTGTTTTTCACTTGCGCTGATTTTGTGCGGGCGGTCTGGTGGGTTACTTATTGCACCTCAACACCCCCCCGAAAAGCTCTTCTTCTTTATCTTTTTTGTTGTTTATCGTCGCCCACGCGGCAGAAGCAAAGGTCAAACGAAGAGGAGGAGTCACAGGCGGCAAGGTGCGTGGTGTCGCCTCTCCCCATTTTTTCCTCTCCCCCTTTTTTCCCCCTCCCTCCGTCGTCGCGTCCACGCACCTGTGGCGCACCCGCACCGGCCCTGCCACGTTTCACCTGG